TATACAGCAAAAATTAAAACTTGTCTAAGTGTAAGAACTACATTTGGAAGCCTATAATAGCAAGAAAAAAAATAAAATTAAGAGACTGAATAGTCACCTTTGGAATTAATGAACATTGACTGGTACATGAAGCCATAGAGATTTAGTAGGGAAGGAGAAAAAGAGAGAACTAAATAATATTCTTTTGAATAGAACGATGTGATAACAAAGACAAAGCACTAATCTCTATTTATACTAGTACCAGACTTCTAATAATCTTAGTTAAATATGAAAACAAAAACTACTCCAAGATATCATCAGAAAAATTATGAGGTATTTTCTAGATACTAACCAATGTTTGATGTTGAAAGTAACTGGCTCAGTGCAAAGAAGAAAAATCGAATCGAATATGCAGAACAAGATATTAATTCATAAAATATTGTTTGTTAAACAATATATTCCATTTCTGATTTTTTGTGTTCTAGAAAGAATCGCATTCCTCGACCCAAACTACTAATTTTCAGATTGGTGACTTCAAAACTTTGAAAGATGGCTAAAATGATTCAAATAATAGAATATCATGCACACACAGTTATGACACCAACCTCTATAGACTATAATGAGCTTCATCTTTCAGTAACTCAAACCAATTAGCCTGTTAGTATTTTTAGTTCTTGATGTCAATTTGGCTGGCCCAAATCCAGTATTGGGCTCCGGCAGTGCAAGCCCACCAATTAGTCTGTTTATCACCAAAAAACTAAAAAATTAATCTAATATTTATGCTCTGTTTTAATTTTAAAAATTTGCGTTTGCTTATATGAGTAGTGAAATAAGATTAAAAAAGTAAATATGAGAGAAGTAAATAAAAACAATAAAGTAGAAAATATATTATTTAAACGGATAGAAATAAAAATAGATAAAGTAGAGAAATTTCTCCTTTGCTTATTTGGATGAATAGAATAAAGAATAAATAAATATAAATAGATAATATGATTTTTTATACTAGTTAAAAATTAATTTTAGGTTAAATAAAATCTAAACTTTTGATTATATTTTTTTTTATTAACTTTTTTTTGTTATAAAAATAAGCTTTTAAATATATATAAAAATATATATACACAATCCTTTCACTTGATGGACCCTTGGGAAAGATACTTCTTTTATTTTATCTAACTAAACATAATGTAAGTGAAACCAAGCAACTTTTATTAGTTTTGGTGGGCCACATAAGTCTTAGATACACCAATACTTAATAATTTTTTTAAAAATCTTGATTTCAAGTTTTTGAATGGAAAAATAATTTTTATAAGAGTTTTGCCTCTTAAATTGGTGCAATCAGCTCAACTTAAACTAACCAAATTTAAATATGATGTGAATCAATCAATCTGATTCAAAAAACCAACCCAAGATTCCTTAACTAAACCAAAATCAGCTGGGTCAAAGGGGAAGTAAGAATTTTGGTATTTCATTACTTTCAATAAAAGAGGAAAAATTAGTCTTACTTTGTTTATTGGGAACTGATTTTCCTCTATGCTTTATTTTCTTGTTTGTAGGATCACTAGGTGGTCAGTTATTTTCTTTGGTGTATTTATAGACTTAAAAATCTATGAATAAAAGCAGTATTATTTTCTAAAAAAAATATAAAATCATTGTTACCTTTAAGCTCTTGACTGGGACCATCAATTGGTATCAAAGCTTGCAACTATCACCTTACTCATTATTGACCTAGACCACCTCGTGGTGGTATCAAGATGGGAACCAACAAAGACAGGATTGAATCATTTGAAGTCGGACTCAGAATTGTACAGGATGAGCTCGCTCAGCTGAAGATTGCATTGACAGAGAAATTTCAAATCCTGAACACATCGCTGAACTGACTCATGAAATTCTTATCTGGCACTCACGTCAGCTCCAACTCGGATCGCAGGAAATGACCAAAAGGGAGCCAAAATAAGAACTCTGCCAATCGACCTGACCACCCAAAACCGATGTTCCAATCCAAGATAGCCAAGCTGGAGTTTCCACACTTCACCATAGGTGACCCAACATCGTGGTTAAGTAAAGGCAAGCAGTTTTTCGACTACCAAGATACACCAAAACATGACCATATGCATTATGCCTCGTATCATCTTGACGACGACGCCAATGAATGGTGGCAGGCTATGAAAAAGGCTTATGATGAAGATGCGGCAGTGATCACTTGGGAGGGGTTTGAAGAGGCACTGTGGGCACGCTTTGGTCCCACCGAATGCGAAGACTTTGACGAAGCCCTGACCAAGATCAAGCAAGATGGCAGTTTAAGGGATTATTAGCGGGAATTCGAATGGCTTCAGAACAAGGTCCATGGGTGGACCCAAAAGGCACTTGTCGGGATATATATTGGAGGTCTCCAACCATCCATTGCGGATGGAATCAGAATGTTCATGCTTAAGACACTCAAGGAAGCCATCATGCTGGCCAAGATGCGAGATAAACTGCTTCAACGGCAAAGGCGAAGTCAACTGAGCAGTCTAGTACCGTGTAGTTATCAAGCACGAAACACAGGTATGAATCCTAAGAAGCTGAGCTGGGATGAAATTAAAAAGAAGAGAAGCCTAGGACTGTGTTTTAGCTGTAATGATCGATACACCACTGGGCACAAGTGCCGACAACCGCAATTACTACTGATGGAAGGAGAACAAGAGGGGTCTAATGAACCCGAGGACAATGAGACCAAGGAACCGAAGATCTCTTTGTACCCTTTAACTGGGTGGGACACTCCTCGTACTATGCGAGTAGAGGTGACGATTGGGAAACATCGCCTATTGGCCCTCATTGACAGTGGATCAACTCACAATTACATCAGTGAGAGAGCAGCAAAAATACTGAATCTCACTGTTTCCCCTACAACACCATTCACTGTTCGTATTGCCAGTGACTCGTCGCTAACATGCCAAGGACGTTATGAGGCGATACTAATCTCGCTGCACGGTATTAGTTTCCCTATAACACTATATGTGCTGCCATTGTGTGGATTAGGTGTTGTTCTTGGGATCCAATGGTTAGAAGAATTGGGAACCACCATGTTTGATTGGAAGGCTCAAACGATGGCTTTCAAATGGCTCGGGAAGGACTACGTACTGCACGGATTGGGAGCTGCCTCGATTAGAGCCACTAAACCCAACAAGGTCTTTAAAGAAGCAAGACAGGGACATACCTTGTTCATTCTCTGCATCAACAAGGAGTAGACCACTTTGTCACCAGTACCGACAACAATGAGAAAGGTGATTAACAAGTTTGCAGAGCTTTTCGATGAACCTCGGGAGTTACCTCTGAAGCAGGAGGTTGAACATTATATCCTTTCGAAAGAAGGAACCAATCCAGTGAATGTTCATCCTTATCGATACACGCATTTTCAGATGGAAAAGATTGAACGTCAAGTGTCGAACATGCTGGAATCTGGGTTTACCCAGCCAAGCTGTAGTCCCTTCTCGTCACCTGTGCTGCTTGTAAAAAAGAAAGATGGATCATGGCGATTTTACACAGATTATCAAGCACTCAATGAAGTAACTATCAAGGATTGTTTTCCAATAACAACTGTGGAAGATATGCTTGATGAGTTACACGGGGCCTCCTTCTTCACCAAACTCGATCTCACCGCCGGATACCATCAAGTTACATGTTCATCCACACGACGTGCACAAGACTGCTTCTTGCACCCACAATGAACAATATGAGTATTTAGTGATGCCCTTCGGCTTATACAACGCTCTTTCAACTTTTCAAGCATTGATGAATACAATCTTCCAGCCACATCTCCGTAAATTTGTCCTTGTATTTTTTGATGATATATTAGTTTACAGCCCCTCATGGCAGGACCACCTCCAACATGTATATGAAGTTTTCAGCATTTTGCGACAACATTGCTTGCATGTTAAGTTCAAAAAATGTGCATTCGGGCAGCAAGAACTCGAGTATTTGGGGTATATCATCTCAAGCAAAGGAGTAAAAGTCAACCGTGCAAAAATTCAAGCAATGTTGGATTGGCCAAGACAAACGACCGTCACGGAGGTTCGTGATTTTCTGGGCCTAACCGGCTACTATCGAAAGTTTGTACGTAACTATGGGGTAATTGCAAGACCACTCACAAATTTGCTCAAGAAATGAAAGTTTTTGTGGGATGAGACGACAAAAACAATGTTCATGAAACTCAAAAGAGCAATGACAACAACGCTCACTCTTGCCCTGCCCAACTTCACCTAACTTTTTGTTATCTAAACAGACGTTTCGGGTGAAGGCATCGGGGCTATTCTAACCCAAAAGGGACAACCCATTACTTTCATGAGTCAAGGATTGAGTCCTATGAAGAAAAATTGGTCTACATATGCACGAGAGATGTTGACCATTGTTGTTGCAATCTGTACTTGGAGGCCATACTTACTGGTCGCCATTTCACAATACAAACGGACCAACAAAGTCTAAGATACTTGCTAGAGCAGTGGGTGTTAACACCTGAACAACAAAAGTGGGTGGAAAAATTAGTCAGCTACGACTATGAAATAGTATAGAAGCCTAGAGCTTCTAATTCAGCGGCTGATGCTCTGTCCCGAATTCCTGAGAGCCCTTGTCTTTAAGGGTTGTTCATTCAATAGGCAAAGATATGAGGCAAACTCCGGGCAATGGCTGCAACAGATTCGTATCTTCAAAAGTTTGTGGCATTGGCCATGCAAAGTCTCGGCAAACCATATTCTTGGAGGGAGGGTATGATTTGCTACAACAACCGTGTTGTTGTACCTCCTGCGTCCCCACTAATCAAACAATTGTTACAAGAATATCATGACACACCGAGAGGAGGACATTCTGGTGTCCTACGTACGCTCAAACGCCTGTCTCAACAATTTTATTGGCCATTTATGCATTGCATGGTTCGAGAATATGTTGCTGCTTGCGATGTTTGTCAGCGGGCAAAGTATGGATCTCTCTTACCGGCGGGATTGCTCCAACCACTGCCTATTCCATGTCGGATATGAGAGGATATCTCCATGGATTTCGTGGACGGGTTGCTAAGATCAGACAGACATACATCAATTATGGTGGTTGTTGATAGGTTAAGTAAATTTGCTCATCTTATTCCATTGACTCACCCTTACTCAGCTAGGCTTGTTGCTTCCAAGTTTATGGAATATGTGGTTAAACTCCACGAAATATCGTGATCAATTGTAAGTGACAGAGACCTGATTTTTGTCAGCAATTTCTATGAACAATTTTGGAGAGTGTCAGGGACTAAACTACAACTGTCATCCGCCTACTATCCTCAAACTGATGGCCAAATAGAGATGGTTAATCGATGCATTGAACAATATCCGTGATGTTTTGTTCATCATCGACCAAAGTAGTGGAGCGCTCTTCTTCTTTGGGCAGAATACCGATATAACACCACGTTTTATTCATCTATTGGTATGGCACCTTTCCAAGCCTTGTACCCATATTCTGACATATGAAACAGGCTCTACAATGGTGGATGAGTTGGATGCGCAGTTAGCAGCTTGTGATGAGCTACTTAGTGAACTTAAGCAGCATTTAGCGACATCAAACAATCGAATGAAGCAACTTGTTGATTCCAAGTGGCGAGACATCAACTTCAACAACAACGATTGTGTCTTTCTTCACCTCCAACCTTATCGGCAACAATCTGTCTTCCGTTGGACATCACAGAAGCTATCAAACCGATTTTTCGATCCATTTCAGGTGGAAGAACGCATTGGACAAGCGGCTTACAAGCTGAAATTACCGGCAGCATTGCGGATTCATCATGTTTTCCATGCCTTTCTATTGAAGAAAAGAATAGGGACAGATCCACCAATCAAAGGGAAACTTCCACCTCTACGGGAAAACATAAGTCTGCAGTTAGAGCCGGAGAAAGTGCTAGAAATACAATGGATGAAGCAGGGGTCTAAGTTCAAGTCAGAACTATTGGTGCAATGGAAGGGCCTCTCTATCGAGGAAGCAACTTGGGAAGATGAAGAGTAGTTGCGTTCCAGTTTCCCTAACCTGGATCTTAAGGACAAGGTTCCTAGCAATAGAGGGAGTATTGATGCTAATCGACCAGTCTGATTAAAAAAACTCAACCCAAGATACCTTAACTAAACCGAAATCAGCTGGGTCAAAGGGGAGGCAAGGATTTCGGTATTTCACTGCTTTCAATAAAAGAGGAAGAATCGGTCTTACTTTTTTTTTATCAAAAATTGATTTCCCTCTATGCTTTATTTCCTTGTTTGTAGGATCACTAGGTAGTCAGTTATTTCCTTTGGTGTATTTATAGACTTAAAAATCTGATGAATAAAAGCAGTATTATTTTCTGCAAAAAAAATTATTGTTACCTTTAAGCTCTTGATTGGGACCATCAAAATACGACTTTCAAATTCTGAAAGTAAAAAAGAAAAATAATTCTACAAGGTAATGTGAAACTTTGTTATAAAATATATACATTTTATTGAATTAGTATGAGAATGACTAAATTAGTTTTCTTAAATAATATTTTAATACATATTTAGAGTAACAAAACAATTATTTGATTTAGAGTATATTACATGGATATACTTGTGAGTGTGTAAAAAAATATATTTAAATAAAAAATAATTATATAATACTAGTTTTTCTTTAAATAATTTAACTATTTAAAATAATAAGATTGATGTTGGATGTTTTTTTTTTTTTTCATGTAAGGCATTCGACATAATTCTTTCTTAATACTTTAAAATGTGACAATTTTTTTATCTCTTGACTTTTTAAATTCTCTCTTTTTCAGAATTTGGATAAAATTTATGAAATAAAATAGTAAATCCAATTTTCTCTCTCTGAAATTCATTGAAACAATTTAAAAACTAAATAAATTCAATAAACACTCTTTTGAATATAAATTTAAAATTCATTTTACTTCTACAAAATAAAAAAAAATAGTGTAAAAGAATTAAAAAATATTTCTATATTGGCCTCTACTTTTAGGAGGAGTGGAAGTGGAAATCCTCGTCCCTACGAAAGGCACGATAAGAGAAGCCAATATTTGTGCAAACCACGCCAGAATTTCATTATTTTCAAGCTTCCATTAACGATCAACTTTCCCAGATTGTGCTTTGTTGGTACACCACCAATTTTTGTGGGAACAAACAAACAAAGCAAAACAAAAATAAAAAGGGTCACATTTTCAAGTTTCGATTCTTCTTTATTAACGGACCCTTTTGCGCTCATTTGGAATTTCGAAAACCCCTCCTCTCGCTATGGGTTGCGGCTCCTCTTTTCCAGGTAATCAAATTCTATCTATATTGGCTTTTCTTCTCTTCGTAAATTTTATGGTAAAGTCTTAGACTTGTAATGAAATTCTCATATTTTCTTGTTGATTTAGCTTTGGGGCTGAAAAGGGGTTGAAAAAATTTTATTTTATTTTTACTGATTGTGGTTTTGATTTGCAAATTTGGTGTTTTTGTTTAATGGGGTTCGGTCATTAGAAGCAATTACTGCGTTTTAGCTCTGATGGGGTTTTGGGGGGAAAATTTTGTGTTTTCAGATAGGGATTCGTGGCAGATGGGTCGACCCAGTTCCGAGAACAGTGGAGGGCAAGACGCCAAGAATCTAAGGGTCAAGGTATTTTATGCGCAAAGTTCTTAGATTGCTGATGTTTTAATTTGCTTAATTCTTTAAATTTGAAAAGGATTAGGAAAGTATTTCCGCACCCCCCCCCCCTCTTTTTCAACATTGTTTCATTCATATGCATGTTTCTTGTAGATTTTAGAGTTGTTGTTGACTGAAAAAGTAAATATTAAGAGAGGGAATCTGGGGAAATTTCCATTTTTTTGCTGTGAATGATTAATTTTGAGTTATTGTGATCATCTGGTGTCTGGCATTAGACTGGTGTCTATTGAATGATTGAACGATTAATTTTCAAAAACATTAAAGAAAAAAGAGGACACGGTTTTTTTTTTTTTTTATAATAAACACTGAATTAAATGCACTTTTAATTGTGTTCATTTTTGTTCTTTTGGATTGGGAAGCTACATCCAATTAGGTCTTTAGGTTGGGGGGGGGGGAATTCTCGACTTTTCCCGTAAAACCCTCCCTAAAACGACCCTGTTTTGAGGGTGAAGAATGTTTTTTTAAAAATCCGCACTCTAGCACTGTTACATCTACTATTTTGGCCACAATTGTGGCCTCTATTATAAAACACTGTTATTCAAAACTTTGTAGCTGCCCATGGTCACTCTGCACTGCTATAACGTGCTAATAACTATGGTTGTCATAAATTTTGATACTTTTATTAGTGAAGAATGCTGATATGACTAACTAGGTGGAAATTTAATCTTCTGACAAAATAGATTGCCGTTGTTAATATGATTATGGTCTTCAATCTACATAATGAATGAATGGGAAATGTATGGCAATTGACGAAAATCTAGTGTTTGATACTACCTTTGTCTTTATTTTATAGACAGTTTCCATATGATCATAGATAGAAATTTAATATTTGTTGTAACCTTTGTGTCACACTATCTGGTACCTGCTAGGTTGCAAGTACCAGTTTCAAACAAATATTATTTAGGTATCCTTCCTATTCTGTCTAATTGTAAATTTACAATCAGTTCTGCTAGAATAGGAGTTTAGAGAGGTGAAGGGCCAGGAGACCAATCAATACAAGTGTTTATGTAAACCATTGAGAATTAATACTGATATAGCACACTGGAATTTCTGTGTTTGGTAACACTTTTGACTTTAAAAAGTCCTGGAAGGATGAAGGGATTTAGCTGAAATTAAATCATAACAAACTCTGTAATACCGCCAATATTTCCTTGTTTAACCTTTAAAGGAAACAATAACTAACCCTTAATGTCACCAAAAACAGCTTGTTCTCTTAGGTGATTCTGGTGTCGGTAAAAGCTGTATTGTTCTACGATTTGTTCGTGGTCAGTTTGATCCTACATCCAAGGTAAAAATATGCTGCTTCTATTTTTTTATGTAATTTTTCCTTGTATGGTCATGACATAAATTTATTGTGTTCTTGATATGTTAATTATTCCATGTTAGTATTCTTATATGTTGTAGACTTTGTAATGTAAGGTAACCGTTGGAGCTTCTTTTTTGTCACAAACAATTGCTCTGCAAGACTCTACAACAGTCAAGTTTGAAATATGGGACACTGCTGGTCAAGAGAGGTCTGTCATTTATCTTTCCAGTTTATGCATATCTATTTACAAATCTTTAGGAGAGCTCAACTATATATTCTGCTTCTCATAACACCCCCCCCCCCTCTCTCAATTCTTATTTCAACAACAAATACTTTCTGAAGTAAAATTTGATTGCTCATAATCTATTTCAGGTATGCTGCATTAGCACCACTCTATTACCGTGGTGCAGCAGTTGCGGTTATTGTCTATGATATAACAAGCCCAGATTCTTTCAGCAAAGCACAGTACTGGGTTAAGGTATATTTCAAGTTATTTCACAGTCAATGTTGTCATTTCTTGTTTGGTTAGTTATTTGAAATTTCAAATGATATGAATAAGAAACAGCTCCCTATATATAGTCTGGAACTGAACAAGTATTAATAAAATGTAATCCTATTTTAATCTGTGTTCATCATTTATAATTATTGTAATTTGGTAATGATAAGTCTCTAGATGTATGTGTATCATGACTTGATGCCAATATGCCTACCTAGCACAAGGTAACAAGGAAGTTAAAGACACAGATGCTCTTCTTTGATCTGGAATAGGATGATGGTGATGTGGACTGGGATGTACAAGAATTGAAAGCTTTCTCATACTACAAGGTTTTGTATTGATAGATGAGAGATTGAGAGTTAAGGGGTAAGACAGGGATTCGGGAATGAAATGTTGACTTGAAAATTTGAAGGAGCAGAAAGCTATCGGCTCTAAAAGATCTGAAAAGTAAAATTCGAATTCCATGTAAATCTGCATTACTTATGCTCATAAGTATACATCGAGGATGGAAGTCTCAACCATAGATGAAAAAATATGCTTTGTTGTGTTTTGTCTGCATTCTGCAATGGCCATCAATATGTTAATGAAACAATTCCTGGTGCTGAAAACTTGTCCTGATTGAGTTGGCATAAATCAAGAAGATTGTAATGGCAGTAGGAATTTGTTTCATCCTATTACAGTATGTGGTCAATTTATACTGTTTCTAGGCTGCATAGGTATGGGTAAAAAGTGCATGAACCGCTTCAGGTGCAGTACGAGGTGTAAGAAAATTTTTAAAATGAGAGTATGGATATGAGAGGATAAAAATATAAAATAATAAACAATATTAAGTCATAAGAAAAATAAAATTTTTGAAATGTTCTAACTCTTAGTTTCCAACAAATTAAAGCTCAAAAGATATGTCAAGTAAGCAAAAATACCTAAAGCATAATATTTGAAGAGATGAAAGTAGCAGTTTGTTTTATTTAGAAGTAAACCAAACAATATAATTGCAAAACTTGGTGTGCTGCATTGATTGACGTGTGCTGGAGTGATATCTGCTTATTGCAATGCATTGAACACGATCTATCTGAGTATATTTGATGTGAAATTAAGAAAAACATATATCTACTACTTACCTAAGTGTTCGTGACAAGTACTAGTAACAGGCACATAAGGATTACCCATGCATAGACAACTATGGAAAGTAGGCAATATATTATAGACTAAGTGCTTGTTTGATTCAACTTCTTGATTTAGCTTCTTAAAACTAGGGAATATGTATTAAGATGTCTCACATTACACTTAGAAAGCCACAAGATGTTCGTAATATTTGCATGTAAGGTTCATTTAATATGTACAGAAGATTGCAATGGACTGTTTTCCCTCACTTTTGCTTTCACAAACGAGATTGCATTTATTGGGTTATGATGGAGTCGGAAAAAAATCTGAACACTCTCTAAGGAATAATATGTTGGAAAAGCTATCCGGAGAATGAAAAAAATAGCAAATAGTTCTCTGTAACAAATTCATAATATGCATCTCTTTGAATGTACTGACATTATGCTGTCACACACGTGCATAATATAATATAATATAATATAAATGTTATATACTAAAACGAATCAATTGATAGGGACAGCTTTAAGCTTCTACGTTTTCTGTCTATTTTGTTTTAGCAGCTGAAATATTAGTATTTTTATAGGAGCTACAAAAACATGGAAGCCCTGATATAGTGATGGCATTGGTTGGTAATAAAGCTGATCTTCATGAGAAGCGGGAAGTTGCTGCCCAGGTAGTGCAACAGTCCACAATAATATAGCTGTCATATGAACAAAATATCTCATTTTTCTCATGTAGTTGCTTTACTGTTTCCATAAAGGATGGCATTGACTATGCGGACAAGAATGGCATGTTTTTCATAGAGACATCTGCAAAGACAGCAGATAATATAAATGAACTGTTTGAGGTACGTTGATATTTACTTCCTTCCTGTTACTAGATTTTAATATTAATTATGACATGTTTGTATTTGGCAAGAATGAGAATGGATGAACAATAGGAAGTAGTCAGCAGTTGTGATTGTTATGGCAATTAGAAATGGACGTGATCACATCTTACCTTGGCAAATTCTACAATTAATTTGAATCTACAATCACAGTTTTGTCTTTTGTACATAAAAGAAGTATCATAAAATGATTTGGGAATCCATGTTTCTTTTGATTGAATATAAGGTGCCAGAATGATATAATCCTGTTTTGATATTAGTCATGTGGCATGAAGTTTACTCTGTTTAATGTAAGATCTACACTCAAGCTACAAGAAGCTGAAGTCAAAACATGCTCAAGTGTTAAGGAACTGTTGGAATTCTGTTTGATATTTGACTTGCAAATCTATGGGATTTTCCAGCGGCTATGCTAGTGGTAAATTTTAAGTTTTAACTCTGATCTTTGGTCTCTTAGGACATTGTTGACTATGCTACTAGCAAACTTCCCCATGATGTTCTTGCTGCCTGAAGATAGTTGTAACAAACTCATATAACCTATTGGAGGAGCTAAAAAATGATCTTGGAGTAGGAATTCCATCCTACAAAAATCCAAGATTGAATCTTTTCTGACAAAGGTAATAATGTAATACTTGGTCTTGAAATACATAGGATGCAGGGGGTTAACTGAAAACAGAAGGCTAGCAAAACCTCTTTAGAATAATGGCCTGGGTCACATTTTAAGGTTATGCATGATTGCTATTTGTAGACATGTTAAACAAGCATGCTGGAAATCACCAAATGCTAGGTAGCCTCCTACATATGAAAAGGACCAAGCCTCTCAAGAATAACAACCATTGGATGCCTGCTGATGATACACTGAGGATATAAAAGAAAGATAATAAGCGTAGTTTGCAACCAAACATGATTTTTTTGGTTTGAAATTAACAACACATGATTAAGAAAAAATTATTGATGTGTTTTTCTAAAGTGCTTCCTGTTTTGACCTATAATAATTAAAATTTGTTGAGAGAGATCCCTGAATTGGATTGGTACCTCTATTCAGGCTATATAACATTAGTTACAGATTAGTTAATTTTGTTGTGTTTCAATTGAAGAGGTGCTTATTTTACTACTTGGTTGATGTAGCCTACAAGGAGTATTTTAATATCAACAAAACCTTGAATTTGATTAGGATCTCTACTAATTTTTCATTTCCCCTCTTTTGGGTTTAAAAGGAGGTCTATGTTGTTCTATGGGGAAGTGGACAGAAGGTTAAAATGTTGACCAAGTGATCTGGCTATGATTGAATCCTAGGTTTGTAATCTCATGAGAAACTCCTGTAGTCACTACCACATAAGCTGCAGCTTTTGGACAGGAACATTTCTCTTTCTTTTTTGTTCCCTTGTCAAAAATGCATTGGTGTGGTGTAAGTGCATCTTAAATTGTAATTTGTGTCAGCATGCTTGATTTGTCAGCTAACTTGTTTACAGACATCTTGCAAAATTTAAAATTCTTGTTGAGCTGAATTTGATTGATGTCATGTTACTCATGTAAGTTTTATTACTATCCTTTTGTTGCCATGTTAACCTCAGTAGGATAAAGATCAACATACTAATATTTAATCTCTATAATCATGACTGCATATTTGTATAGATAACGTCTCTTCTTCCTCTCTCTCTATTTCTCTCTTGGTAATTACTCTCCAGACCTGGATGATTACTATAACTTGAACATGCAGTAGATATCATCACTGTTTACTCTTAGCCTCAAATATTGACTTTAAATGGTAATTGCTAGTGTAGTATTTAGGCTGTATTTGATAACATGAGCTTCTTTTCTTTTCTTTTAGTCAATAAGTTAATAGAGCTGTTTAGTAGACAAAAAATATAAGAACTTTATTGCTTTTGAAAGCTAATTTATGAAAAGATACTTCAAGTAGCGTTTAACTTATTGAAAACTAGCTTTCAATAATTTTTATTTTATTTTTATCCTTAACCTTCTAAGTAATTACACTCATGCAAAATAATCTTCAACACTTCTTTTAGTCATTTAACACATTTCAGCTGATTATATTAATAGTTTTACTAAACAGTTTTAATTCAATAAGCTATAAGATTATAGCTAGTTTTACCAAATAGAACCTTAATTTTGGCTTTTGCTGGTCTACCCGTCTTATAATGATGATGTCTTTCCTTGATTTTATGAGTAGTGTATCTTTTCTCGACACCTTTATATATATATATATATATACAGAGCAGGATTCTTATACTGATATAAGTTTAAAAACTCTTACACTTGATCTAAGTCTTTCATTTAACTTACATCTAACGAGTTATAATTTATTATTTTATTGATAATTAGATGTAAGTTAAATAAAAGGTTTAGATTGAATATAAGAGTTTTTAAACTTATATTAGTGTAAGAAGATCATTTCCTATATATATATATATATATATATATATATATGAATTTTACATCCTCCTGGGCATTCCCATTAGGCTTAACGATTGAAATGTTTCTTTTCATAGGAAATTGCTAAAAGACTGCCTCGCCCATCAGTTAGTTGATGTAGCCAGATTGCAGTTCAGTAAAGGATCAGCATTTGCTTTGGGATCCTTCAATGCTGTAATGTATGGGTTATGTTTATGTATATTGTGATTAGATATCTGTGGTCTTTAATCAACCTGTAATAATGTCATGGACATCATGTCAGATAGATAGGTGATATATATTAGGCCATGCTTTGTGCAACCCACAAATATGAGTCATGTCTATTATGATTTCATATCCCTTGTCTTTTATTGATTGGCATGCCTCGTTTTTAATTAAGATTGTAATATGAAGAATGCCAAGTGAAACGCACGATGCATTTGGTTGTTGTAGCCCATGCTTTGTAAGACCCACAAATCATTGCTAAATTGAACATATTTGGATGTTGGTGGTTGTGTAATTCTAATTTTAATACCACTACTTTAGACTATAGCATAGGTGTTTGAAAGAATTTGTTTGAATTTATGAAAGTAATTTATAACTTACTAAAGTTTTTACATTATTTCAGTAAATTTTACTGTATATCTCTATAAATAAGTTTATATTTGATAATAGTTTATTAAATAAATACTTTATTATAAATGTTTATTTAAATAGATATTTATTTCGTTATACGAGTTAAAGCTTAAAATTTTGAGACTACGAATTAAATCAAAGTGTAACTTCAAATCATTTATATATATAAAAAAATGTATTTGCACATTTTGTCTTTGTAAACTCCTACAATTTACCCAATGCTAACATTAAGCTTGATCCAAGAAAAAAGAAAGGCTTGATTGATATATTCGGATAACTGAAACTATGCTACCAATTAGGTTTGAATTAACAAAATTGTATATTATATAATCAATAACATAAGTTTTTAAAACATTAAGAATTCTTTTAATGAAGTGTATGTATCCGACCTACACTTACATTTCTTTTACGCAGCCAACTCGGGATGGCTAAGGGTGAGTTTGGCAATGACTATTGAGTACAGAACATGTCAAATGGAAAATGACGTACAATGAGTCTTTGCTTTTTCACTTTTTTATAATTCAATTTTGTTTGAATAAAATAAAATTGGAACTTAGGGTTGCAATTTCTCGTTTATTTTAGTGACTGGCCACGCGTCTTGATGTAACACGTAGTTGACATGTCGGCAAAGTTTTATTGGAAATTTTCAAAATGCTTCTCTGTTATCAGTAAAATTTATTGGAAATTTTTTAAATGCATCTCTGTTATGGGAAATTTTCAAATCATTACTCGAGAACGTTTTCTCTAGATACATATATACTGTCTGATAAGAAATTTTAAAATCATCATTAAAATGAAAATTTTCAAAATGCATACAAATTAATACAATTATAATAAGTCTTCTGGATTTGACAATTCACCTTAAAAACTTAAATTGTCAAAAGATGAAGAATTTAAAGCCAATCATTGTAGAACTTGAGGTAATCCAGATTTCCAAATTATAATTCGTTGTTTTGATCCTTAATTTTTTTTTATTTGTATATATTGTTCTGTGAAGAAGAAATAGTTTATAAGTTTAAATTTTAGTAGATTAAATTTTTTAATTATTTGTATGACTACATGGTTCCTTAAAGGGAAAAAAATTGAGGACATCTCTTATTATAATCTGTTTTTTCCTGTAACATGCGGCTTTACTATTATTTAACACCTATTTATAATGTTTTTTAAAAGTTTTAACGTTATTAATTATTTTTCAAAATTTCCTTATGTATTAAAATATTTTCCTCAAATTCCAGCTTTGAATATTTTCAATTTTTTATATTATTTTATCATATTAAATTTCAATAATTTATACTCTCAAGCTAACTGTCATTCATTTTTTAATGTCTTTTTCCTCTTAAATCTAAACTATTCATAATTTTTTTTCTTTATTTATTTAACTTAACTATATATTTGTTCTCTTATTTATATTTTAAATTTTTGCTTAAATTGAAAATTACTAGTACAATTTACAGAATACTTGTTACAATTATATTATTATTTTTTAAACAAATTTCTTTCAAATTTATACAATGCACGTGCAGTTAACACTAAATTTTATAATTAATATCTTTATTATTTTTTTAATAAAGTTCACATACTTAGTATTCACAAAAAAATGAATTCAAAATTTATATATACTTTTATCATGTTAAATTGAAGTATAAATTAAGGTATTTTTTAAAAATTTATTTAAAACGTAAAAAAACATTAAAGCAAGTTTTATACATTTTAATAAAATGTGTTTTGTATACAAATTAAAAATCGAATCATGATTCATATATTTATCAATTATTTTAAATTCTTTTATTTTGTTACGTGCAATTTGGTCGGGGGAAAAAATCTTTCTCCTACACAAACTAAAAAAATGAAAAAACATTTTGCCAAACCACAGGAGAAGGGGAATAGGGGATCATCATTGGTTCTCTCATTGTCTTGAGTCTTAACTGGGAACAAGGCAAAGACCCTTTCCTTAAAAGTCAAATGCAAAACAATAAACACTTGTTCTTCGTTTATTTTTCAATTTCAATTCCAATTCCATTCCTAGTTTCATCCAATTTCAATTCCAGTTGCAATTCTCTTTCCCAAATTCCCTCTCAACACAACCTTCTCCCTCTGCTCCATTCAATCCACGGTGGGTCTTAATTCTCCACCGTGATCCTTCTCGTTTTCGATCATTTCCAACAGTTCCCTCATCTGGGTATTCTAAATCACCTTTCAAATTTGAAGCACCCTTGATCCCGTGGTCAAAGTTTGTAGCTTTGACTTTTTCTCTTGGTGTGTCAAAATGGGTGGGAGCGAGAACTCGAAGGGCGTTGTTGTGGGTCATTTGATTGAGTCCGTGAAGGACATTTCTGGGTTGCCAGAATGCCAAAACTTTTGCAAGACTATGTATGGGAATTTGGTTCGCAGGGTGAAGCTGTTGAGTCCTCTGTTTGAGGAACTCAAGGATAGTGATGAGTCCTTAAGCGATGAACAGCTTCAAGCCTTTGAATCTCTCAGGGTTGCTTTGGATTCAGCTAAGACCCTTTTGAAGTCTGTGAACCAAGGGAGTAAGCTTTATCAGGTATGCCTTTCTGTTTTTTTCTTTTTTTCTTTTTTCTTTTTTTGTGTGCTTTTGTGATTTTCTTCAAGCGGAGAAAATTCATGAAAATTTGTTTCTTTTTTTTTTCCTAATACGAGAGATTGATGTTGAATAAAATTCTATTTTTGTGATTTGCCTGTATCCTACTAAACATTGTTAGATGTTTTGCCTGTGCCAAATTCACAGTAACCAAAGCTTCATGCTACGCTTTTTCCCTTTTCTTTTTGGTGGGACTCTTTTCTTCTTGTATGTGAGATGCCAATGCTTTCTACCAGTATATTTCTTGATGGACGTTGTTAGAAAATGTTTTCATTTGCTTCAATTCTAAGGTGTTCGTGTGTGTGTGTATATGCAAAAAAATCCCCAATTTAATTGCAGGAATACCTATTACTTAAGTGGGAGTTGTTTCTTGAATTTGAAGTGTGGGTACAAGGTGCATGAGTCTAATTTGTATGCACTAGTTCCCAAGTACAATTTCAGGAGTATCCAACTACTTAAGTTGTTGTTTCTGAATTTAAGGCGCACGTGCGTATGTTTGTATGTAAATATTTACCTAGCAGCTTCATATATATTTTCTTATGTCAATTAAAACAAAATAGAATACTGATATCTAGTAAAGCATTCTAAATTCCCTCACCTTTTATACCTATAATCATCTGAATTATTAAATGAAGAAAGAATTAAATATGTTTTATGTTTTCAAGACACTAAATGCATGTACCTTTTCATTTAATGTTTACTTTATAAAGTAGATGTAGGATTATTAGGAGGATATAGCAAAGCTCTTTCGGTTAGAAAAATAACTCCTTTATTCACATGGCTTTGAAATATCAGAAATATAGCGAGGATTTTTAAACTCGTGGAAATTATAAAAGCTCTTATTTTCATTTCATTATGAATTATATATAGTGGTACTCCTATTTCTATATTTCATATTCACCATGATGACATCATGAATCTACTAAAGGCACTCTTTAGTATGTTTTTCTCTTCTTACATGATCAGTCTGATCATCAGTTTTTATTTTCTCTAATCTGCATAGTCCTCAGGAAAACCTATGAACTGAACAGAAAAGATGTATGAAGTTTAAATTGTATAAAATAGTGCATTCCTGAAACCAGGCCATTCCTGTGCAAGTTTCTTGATATGTATAAAGTGCATTAGCTGACTATTTCATATTTCATTGTGGATGAATATTGTTAAATTAGAGTAAGAGATTATAACATCTGCAGATGCTCTATGCCTTCTGGTTCAGTTTTGTTACCAAACATGTTAATTGATCCTGATTGTTAATTTTAATCTAATTACTGTTTACATGTGCAGGCTTTGCGGAGGACTGATACGGCAGGTAAGTTCCGACAAATAACCGAAAAAATTGAAGCTGCGCTGGGTGAAATTTCATATGACAAACTTGAGATATCAGAGGAAGTTCAAGAACAGGTAATTTTTATTATACATTAGGAGACTAGCAATACTCTATACAATTCCATGGCAATTCAAATATTTTGGCATCATTTCTATTGATTATATTTCATTGCTGTGCTTTTAAATTTCTCTGAGTAATGTTTTTGGCAATGATAAGGGGCAGCATTTGTGTGCCATATTTTTCACAACTATTTTAATCTTTCTCAGATTGAATTGGTGCATGCTCAATTCAAAAGAGCCAAAGCTCAAACAGAATTTGCTGATATACAATTAGACCTGGATATGGCAGTAGCACAGAAAGAAAAAGACCCTGATCCTGCTATACTTAAAAGACTTTCTGAGAAGTTGCATCTTAGGACAATAAATGACCTAAAGAAAGAGTCTAGCGAATTACATGAATTGGTTATTACTAGCACAAGCGGAGAACTTGGGGACTCTTTAGAAATGATCTCGTCCCTTCTTAGGAAACTAAAGGACTGTGTGCTCACAGAAAATCCTGAAACTGACGCCACTGAAAGTGAAAAAGTCTCAGTTAAGCACAGGTCTCCTGTAATACCGGATGATTTTAGATGTCCCATATCTCTTGAACTAATGAAAGATCCTGTAATTGTCTCTACTGGTCAGGTATTCAACATTGTCTGTGTACAACACTGTTCTAATGGTATTAGTTATGATTATTCATAAACTTTCTACCTTTTTTGCAGACATATGAAAGAGCCTGCATTCAGAAATGGCTTGATGCTGGTCATAAAACCTGTCCCAAGACACAGCAGACACTTTTGCATACAGCCCTTACACCTAACTATGTTTTGAAGAGTCTGATAGCTTTATGGTGTGAAAGCAATGGTGTTGAGCTACCAAAGAAGCAAGGTAGCTGTAGAGCAAAGAAATCTGGAAGCAGCCTTTCAGACTGTGATCAAACTGCCATTAGTGCTTTATTGGATAAACTGATGAGTAATGATATAGAACAGCAAAGGGCAGCTGCTGGTGAGCTCCGTTTGCTGGCTAAGAGGAATGCAGATAACAGAGTGTGTATTGCTGAGGCAGGAGCAATACCGCTTCTGGTAGATTTGTTGTCTTCTTCAGATCCTCGAACTCAGGAACATGCTGTTACAGCACTTCTCAACCTGTCCATTAATGAGAGTAACAAAGGAACTATAGTAAATGCAGGAGCTATACCAGATATTGTAGATGTACTGAAAAATGGAAGCATGGAGGCGAGAGAAAATGCAGCTGCAACTCTCTTTAGTTTATCCGTTCTAGATGAATACAAGGTTGCAATAGGTGCAGCTGGTGCTATCCCTGCTCTTATAAATTTACTTTGTGAAGGTACTCCCAGAGGTAAGAAGGATGCTGCTACTGCTATATTTAATCTGTCTATATATCAGGGAAACAAAGCACGAGCCGTAAAAGGCGGCATAGTAGCCCCACTGATACAATTTCTGAAGGATGCTGGAGGTGGGATGGTAGATGAAGCACTAGCTATAATGGCAATTCTTGCAAGCCATCATGAAGGCAGGATAGCAATTGGTCAGGCTGAGCCAATCCCTATTATAGTTGATGTTATACGAACCGGATCTCCACGCAACCGGGAGAATGCTGCTGCTGTCTTGTGGTCACTTTGCACGGGAGATGTACTGCAGTTAAAACTAGCAAAGGAGCATGGTGCAGAAGAAGCATTACAGGAATTATCAGAAAATGGAACTGATAGAGCTAAGAGAAAAGCTGGAAGTATATTAGACCTCTTACAGCGAATGGAAGGAAATGATAATTTTCAAAATTCTTAGTCTGGGTGTTACTTCATTGTACTGTTCATAGAAGATTAGAAAATTATGTATTTATAAACCATGGCCCCGAGTAGTCTGGGATAATACTCTATTCCTTCTCTTCTTTTTTTTTAGTTGCTGGAAGATAAGCAGGCAAATTGTGCAGGAACTTTGTATTATGTTTGTCATTTGTCTGTAAAGGGAAATGTTGTAAAATGTAATAAATTTTGACTCAGGTAAAGGTAGCAATTTTTTAAACTTTCTGCTGCAGTAAATGATAACTTTTATGATACAATTTTGGTTGTAAAACCTACTAAACCCACTGTAAGCATTTTAGCTAAAATTTAATTTTAGGTCCTGTATAAAAATAAGTTGTCAGAAAATTTATTATCTCATAATCATTAAAAAAACATTTAATACATAATGTTGATAATAATTTAAAGTATTTAATATAATATATTTAATACTACTTAAGATATGTTTGTTAAACATGTATGTCTTAGAATCAAGATTAAATGAAAAAAGAAAATAATTACTCTTAAATTATATATCAACGGATATTTAAATCATATAAAATTTTTTGTACATAATCTGTGATAATATTACATGAATTAACAATTTAATTGATAAAATCAACTTTTGATATATATATATATATATATATATATATATATCATTTTACTAAGTTTGACACCAAACCTTTTCTTACCACATGCAAAATTCTCGTCTTGATTTCAGCGTCTATAGTCCAAACACCTCGACTATACTCAAATATGCGCACACATTAGTTTGTAGACACAAACCAGACTGAACTTTGCTCTGTCACTGAGCAATCTTTCATGTTAGCACATAAAAGAAACATTATCGGACTATTTATAACGCATCATTCGTACGTACATCTAGTAATGAAACATTAAACCAAAAAAGAAAAAAAATCAATAATTACAAACATGCAGAGAATATAACATGTAATCGCCTTGTGACTAGGGTCAAGGTGACACCCGAGCGGAGATTGATCCCATATCTTTATAAAAACATTATGACACCTTAACATAGTGATGAGGATGATAAATAATTTTAGGCTTCCACACCAAAAGTATAGTTGGTAAAACAATTCAAAGGGGGATTTCAAAGTCTGCAATGGACATCCCCGCCGTTCAACCAAAATTAAGAACGCAAACCCGTTGCATAAAATGCTCAATCATTTGCCACAAGCCGAAATAGAGCATAGAGAAAAAAGTTCTCGAACTATTAATTACAAGTAGTCCCCTCCAAGGACTAGGTTCCCAAACCCCTAATTGTTCCTCTTAGAAAATCAACGGCGGAGGATTTTATAGCACTACTAAACCTTTTTTCACAGCATCAGTTCAGCATCGTCCTAGAAGAACTCGCTTAGGCATAGCGCTGGTTAGGCGTCATCAAGATAAACTCACCTAAACTAACAAAGGCACTCTAGAGTCTAGATGATATAACCAAAATAAACTACACATTAATCAGCCTAGCTTTTCCATAAATGTTTCGACCAAGGTTTGGCCATTGACTATTTTTGTTGTCGCAATAATCAAATCATATGCCATGCCCTCCTGCAAAATAAACCATATCAAGATTTAGGAGATAAGAACCAAACAAGAAAATTTATTTATAGTCGATTGGATAAAGCGGGATATAAGGAAGGAGAGACTAAATTATCCAGTGCAAGACATACACGGGGGTTTGTTCAATGGTAAACCAAATCAATACCAGTATGGTAAACGTATACCAAAACAAACGTGTACTCTGAGCATTCATACCACCATGCTATTGGAAACAAAGTTTGAATGATATTATTTTTGTGTCCCTATTTGTTAAAGTAATAACATGCTCATCCTACTTTTGACGATACTAACTATCAGATATGCTACTATAAAGTCCAAAATAGATTTCCCTCATTTCTTCTACAAAACCATATCCCCCACGGGGCCCTTGTAAATTATTTCTTCTCCCTCACCCAACAATTTTATTTTCTCTTACTGGGATAGCTTGGAAAAGCCCTTATAGATATTAAAAGAAATCCATTTCCAATTAGGTCTAAGTATCTAGTCCAATTTGAGGGGGGATATATGGTAAAATATCTACTGCTTCGTTCCAGTGAATTATCATTATGGTGATAACTTGATTTCTTTCTAGTGTTTCCTTCTAGAGAGATCCATATTAATACTCACTCCATTCCTTGTTTGTCTCTTTCTTGAGAGCAAAATCTTGTAACGTAAATCTAAAGACCAACTTTTTTCCTAGAACCCATTTTGTTTGCAGCACTATATTTATCCTTCCATTCTAGGACCCAATCAACTCTAGTCTTCTGGAATTTTGATGTTCCAATGTTCCTAGACTCAGTCTCTCATCATTTGAGTCAGTATCATGTATCATAGAGAGATGTGTCAAAAATTCATTGGTGAATCTAGCTGAGAATATGTTTGGAAAACAAAATTTAGGAATTGATTTGATTCATAAATGAAATTTTGTTATTGGAAAATTATAAAATAGGAATTGATTTGATTTTAAAATCCTTTTACGATGTGTACTAGAGAAATGCACTCAACTTTGGTTGGATTTGATGTTATTTTAACAGTTTTGTTAATCTTATCCCATAAAGTTGAGTTTAAGCAACTAAAAGTAGTAAACTTTATTGAAAAAATATTTATTATATTTGAGATACAAAAGTGTAATAAATACTATCTTTTTAACAAAAACTTACTCTTATTGATTGGTTAATCTTAGTCCTATAGACTAAACTTATAATAAAACCTTTACTTTAGTTATTTGAACCTAACAGTTTTACCCTTTTTGGTTTTATCCATTTAATCATTCTTGGCATCATGTTACAACAAATAAGGTCCTGAATAAGGTAATCCTCCGCTATACTAGTGCTTCTTCTTACTAAAGAATGAAGATAAGAGAGGACAGCTGCAGACTTGCATAATTAAAGAAAGCTCATCAGCTGGGCCACAAAAATTTACTGAACAGGGAAGTCTGTTTACATGATATATTATGGACCGATAACAGTATTGAAAAAGTAGATTTAAATTATAGGAAGAATGCATTGGCTAACTAACAACTTGTCTAAGAAATATAAAAAATGGGCAACAGCTGTTATCACACCTGAGCACTGAGAAATCGAAGTGCAGAAATCTCTGCAAAGGTAACACCCCCAAGAAAGACAACAAGCACCAGGGCACGCCTTCCATCAGGTACTCTGAAATATGTGAAGTGTCAAAAAGAAAAAAAGGTAATTGACAAAATTACAAGATTTCATCCTTTGAGACTCAGAATTTGAGTAAATTTTGACAAACCAAAGTCAAATGTAAACCATTCAGCTCTAAAAGTTTTCCTTTACAAGAACCTATTACTATTACCAAAAAACTAAAAGCAAATAAAACAGTGTTGTAATCTTTTCATCCAGCTAGGAAATTTGGCCAGCCATCAAACCTCACATTTGGTGATAATTGATGTCGTCCACAACCACAAGTAAAAGATTCAGAATAAAATAGAGAATACATTGTTGGATCTGTCTAACCTTATTAGCTGCTATAATTTTGAAATGTTTATCTTAGTGATTTAACTTTACATGCAATGATAAGCTGAATTTTCTGGAATTTTTGACATTTTTCTGGTAGATATACTAGTCGCAATTAGCAAATGACAAATGAAAAGATGCAGAATTTAAAAACAGGCACTGATGTAAACATACTTAGCTATGCCGGTTGAAACCCCCGATAAGGTGTCAAATGATGGGCTATTTGAGAATCCACCCTGTATAAGCAATAGACCAAGCAAAACTTAAAAACTATAACTACAGAGAGAGGTGAATACTGGATAATGTGACTTTCATTCAAACAGTTCAAGAACAGGGAAACATGACATCAGAAAACATGTTCAGTAAAAGTTAATTATAACATGAGTTGCAAAAGTTTTCCATAGGTCAACTTGACAAGTACTAACCCTCTTGGTTTCCAAATGAGGTCCAGGCAGCAGTTTCAAAATTTCTTCAACAGGACGCCTAAAAGATCAATCATCACATTCAGTAATGCATCAGTTGGTCAAATACCAAGGTCACATTCACGAGTCATGACCCAAGCATAGAAATTCATAATTCACTTTAAAAATGAATGTAAGCACTGAACCAATCAGTAGATCTATTCCACCAAAAGCAAATGTATTTGCATGTGATAGTATACCAAAAGGGAAAACGTGAAGCTTGAGAAAAATAAAAGTTAAGATACTGTAATTGGGTATTAATAGCTGTTTATTATCAAACATCCTTGTATTTTATCATATGGACTGTTTAGAGGTGTTTCTTTGTTAGACATGTAGAGATGTTGGCATGCCTTGTCACATGACTCTATCTCTAGGCGTTTCTTTTGTATTTTCAAGTAAGGTTCTCTTATCCTCTTTGTATTTTGCTTTTCTTCCCCAATGAAATATAACAAAAACAAAAGGATCCAGCAGCCTTCAATTTTTTAATGAGCTAAGGAGCTGAGCAACAATGGTATTGCATCAAGTAAACATTGGAATCCACCCTCAGCTGAGAGTAATACACAATAACATGTACAGGCAGCAATAATCTTTGGAGCCTTGCCCATTAAATTACCAAATTTTGACATACCTAATACAAAGCCCATAAAACATACACCAGTTAGTATATTTTATTGAAATCTGATTGTTGTCATATTTTCACCAAAAAAATAATGTCCTACCGACAGTGCAGGGTATTTAACATTTTAAACTAGACTTTATGGCAGCATTGATCTATTTTTAATAGCAGAAAAGCATTTAACAAAAACCACCTAAGACATAGAAGCATTATACGAGATTTATAGTTCCATAAGTTCAACATCTCTATAAAATTTATATACAGTTATGGTTAAAGGAAAATAATGAATTAAGAGTGTTAGTCAGCAAGAGCAAGGAAGACCTTTCAGTATAAGAGATTCAGACTTACCATCCAGACCGAATGGCATGCTGGACCAGTCGAATGCTTAGTGGTGCATATCCAGAGAAGACATAGGCAATATCATTGGGACTGTCCTAGTCGGAAATCATTTCAAGTGTAAGTAAGGGAAACAGAACAAGTAGATAATTGCATAACAGTTGTTTATCAATAATGACAATTTAAAAGGGCCCCAAGAGAGGTTTTGCAAGAACTTCATGCATACATCTGCTTAGATCGAAGCATTATATACATGCAGACAAAAAAAATACTATGAATGCAAGATGCATCATTAATTGTCAA